GGATCACCCCCTCCCCGACCCCTCCCTGACCAGCCCCTCCCGCTCCCACCCCACCCCAGCATGTAGTTTTGGTATTTTCATACAGATGCAGTCGGAAGTAGCTAAACATGAAATAAGCCTAACATAAAAATAGAGCTTTTTCCGTCCTTCCGTCCGGAAAGCAAACATCCTTCAATAAACATGCAAGGCGGCTGTCCAGTGGGACCGGGCCGGTAAGGGGCTGTGGAGGGCAGGGCCGGGCGGACGGTGCCCTGAGTCCACAGGACCACCAGCCGCCCGCCGCAGGGGAGCGAGGAAAGGGGGCCGCTTGGGAACAGAGTCCAGAAAGACTCAGGCCTCAACCCCAAGGTCGAGATGAGGTCCCAGCCCCCTTTCTAAGCCCACTCCCCGACGCCAGGTTCTCCGGCAGGAGCATCACTGCGTCCAGTCACGTTTGAGGAATTTCTGAAACATCTTCTCCAGAAGATCCAGCCTCGGTCCTCGATGCCCAGCTTCACAGTCATCGCCCTCACCCTCGGACCCCCGCCCCCACCCCACCTGGGGCCCAGCAGCCGCCTGCGGCTGGATGTCACCAGGCCGGACATCTGCCCTCGGGCTACTCAGTCCCTCTGGAAGAAGCAGCGGGCAGGGAGCTCCCAGGCCGGCCGGCTCTGAGTATGACTTCATAGCGCCCCTGGGTTGCAGGAGCCTGTGGCGTGCCCAGCCCTGGAGGCCCTAGTGGACCAGAAGGCCAAGCGTGAGTGTGGGCAGGACCCCCAGCCAGAGAGAGGTGGCCAGGGCGCGGGCCCGGCCCATGAGGTGCTCGGCCATGGCGCCATCCTCGGGCAGCAGCTGCCAGTGCTGGGCCTCACGGAAGTAGGAGCCTTCCTGGGCCTCGCAGAAGTAGTGGCCATACTGCTGCGCCGTGAGGTTCTCAATGAACAGGATGCAGTTGGGGCTCTGGTGGCCAGGCTCGCAGCTCTGCTCCACGTTCTCCTTGTGGCGCCACGAGTAGGTGGCGTGGCGGGACTCCATGGGGCAGCTCAGGTAGTAGCGGGAGTTCGGGGCCAGGGAAACCTTCTGTAGGGGGGCCTTGTCTGGGGGAGCAGAGGGGAGGCAGCCGTGAGGAGGGGTGGGGGCTCCCAGATAGGCTGTGTCCTCCCCCACAGACGGGACTCCTGGGGCAAGGCTTCTGAACAGACACGGGTCACCCAGTCTGTTTCTTCCTTTGTTCTCCCATCTCCCTCATCCCACCCCTCTCATAACCACATCAAGGAGGCTTCCCCCACAGGACTGTGTCCTGCCTCGTTTGCCTGGGGCCCGCAGGACTGGCCATGACAGGGCAATCGGGGCACAGATGGACCCCCTCATTGGACCACGACTGCTGGGCAGGGCCAGATCAAATACCTGGTTTGGGGTTGGGACACTCCTTATGAGGCTCGTCTGGGTTAATGGACTGCAGCACTGACCTGGGGTCAGAGGGACAGGGGCTCAGCGGCAGGAAAAGCCCTGGCCCTTCCCCATCCTCACCCCACTGCAGCATTAGTGGTAAGGAGGCTCCTGCCAGGGTGGCCCAGCACCACCGCCTCCTCCAGCCCATCAAGCCACCCCTCCCTGCATCCACCTTCTCCCGGGACAAGGGACCCCAGCCAACGTACCGGTGGGAGCTGTAGATGGAGACGCAGCGGCCCTGGTCCCAGCCACAGTAGGGGTCTCGGGACATGAGGCAGCCGTGGCAGCCCCCACCGTAGACTTCACACAGGTCCAGGGGTACCTGGCTCACCTCCCACTGGGAACTCACGTACAGCTTCCGCTGGAAGGACAGCAGGACGGGGTGAGGCCTCGGCCTGCCCTAAGCCAAGCCCCAAGCCCCCAGGACTTGGGGGCAGTGCTCTTAAAAGGACATGCACACCCATGACAAGGAGCCCTGTCCTTGGCTGCTGTCACTTAGTCCCATGGAATAGAGTCGGGGAGGCTCACCCGCTCAGCATCCAGCAACATGGCCTGGATGGCAGCCGCGTGGCGGAAAGGCTGGATCTCCATGATGTTGAAGACGAGGCTGTGCTCCTGCTCCCCTGACTCCACCACCTTGTGGATGGTGCCCCTGTCTGGGGGTGGTGGGCAGAGGGTCAGCAGGCAGGAGACCCGGCATGAGCGGGCAGCCTCCCTCCAGGCAGGGGAGGGTAGGACATCATGGGTCAGGCGAGGGTCATGGGACTGGGGTGGGTGGGGCAAGGAGAGCGTGACTGCGAGGGATGTAGGAGCCCAAGGGAGCCCAGACGCTTCCAAGGTTGGTCCACAGAGGCCACACCAGAAGGCCCAGGGTTCCCTGGAGAGGACCCCAACATGCCCAAGGCTGTGTGGGAAGAACAGAACTAGGGGTCCCACACTCACAAGCACAGCATCTGTGCTCTGCATGTGTCATCTCATTTAACCCTCCACAACCATGGGAGGTGATGGCAACTTCCTCACGTCACAAAGAAGGAAATGAGGTTCAGAAACGCCAAGCAACTTGCTCAAGGTCACACAGCGGGTGAACAGCAGAGGCCAAGTTGGAACCCGTATCTGTCAGAGCCTAGCCACCCAGCTTCTTCCCCCACTCCCCTGCCTCCTGGCCGCTCACGGAATATATTTACTTTAAATACATTTTTTATTTTGGAATCATTTTAGATTTCCAGAAAAGTTGCAAAGATAGTACAGAGTCCCCATTTAACCTCCCCCAGTTTCCCCTAATGTTACCATCTTACATAACTGCAGTACATTTGTCACAAATAAGCAACTGACATCGGTACATTACTATGGACTAAACTACAGACTTCATATGGATTTCAACGGTTTTTCCACTAATGTTCTTCTTTTGTTCCAGGATCTAGTCCAGAACTCCACGCTGCATGTGGTCTTGGGGGATATCTTAATTGTTATAAAATCTCAGCTCTGCAAATGACCTTGGATCATTCCCAAGGTCACACAATCGGGCTGCCTGCCTTTTGGATCAACGCTCTCTGTCCCACCTGGGGACTAATGGGCATCCTAACCCCTGGTCCTTCCCATCCCACCTCATGCTGTCCCAGTTTCTAGAATAGTCTATCTCCCTCTCTCCCTCCCTCTCAATTTCCCAAAGCATCACCTGCCCCAAAAAAGCAGTCAGATGATCGCCTGCCTAGGACGTTTCCTGTACACGTCTGTGATCCCCGTCTGCAGACTCAGAGATGAGGCCGGATGCTCCCGGGGCCCAGCGAACTCTCCCCAACCCCTGCTTCCACACACACTGCCCTGCACCTCCTTCCAAACCAGGCCCAGGGTAGCCTCCCCTCGGCAAAGTTCTCAGGAACAGAGCCAGGACTTCCCACTGTGAGCAGCTCGTTCTCTGCAGAGGACTCCGAATGTTCTGTTTTTTATCTGGCCCCAATATTTCTGCATCCTGCAGGTTCCCTCATGGCCCTCAGAGAGAATCCAGACCCCTTCCCTAATCACTGAGGTGTGCTCGCCTCCCAAGTCTGCAGGAACAGTCTGCAGCCCTAGTCCAGCTTGTCACGGTCCCTGCTCCTGATCCTATATTATGCAACCTCTCCTCCCTTGTTTCCCAGGCCCTGCCGTCCTCCTGGCTGACCGCAACAGCCAGGCCAACTACTGCTGGAGAGAGCAAGACCAGGGGTCCATGGGTCCAGCCAGGAATCAGCACCCAGACCCTAGGCCCTGCCGTGTGGGAAATTCCTCTCTCTGAGGCTTCCAGAAGACAAACAATAATGCCTGGGTTCCAGTTTCCGATAAGGCCACCAGCGCCAAGGCGGCCCCAAGGTGAAGCAGCTGCAGGAAGTCACATGGAACAATGTGAACAATTGAGGCTGGGTGCCTGGGCCTGAACTGTGTGTCCCAGAGGTGCTTGGGACCCTCTGCAGTCTCAAGGAAGGCAGCTGGGACCAGGAAGCTGCCACAAACCCCACCCAGGGCCATTCCTCCATGTCCCATGGCCACAAACCCCACCCAGGGCCATTCCTCCATGTCCCGTGGCTTCCTGGAATGCAGGCATGTCCTCCAGGGCATCTCACCCATTCTCTCATGGAGGCCCCCCAGGGAAGAGGAGAGGCTGCCCTGTCTGCTGCAAGACCGTGCAGGGCTCTGCCGGCTAGAACTCCCTCCTCGCATCTCACTAAATTCTTGGTGTCCCACCAGCTCCTCCAATCTTTCCTCTCACCTACACAAACCCAAAGACAGGGTATGATTTCTCACTCTGCCTGGCAGAGGCTCCCAGGGGTCCAGGGGCCCAGGCCCCGCCTCAAGATTTCCACATCCTTCCTACCATCTTCTTCTCTGAGTCAGACATCTGGACCAAAGCTGCACCTGGCATTGCTCAAATGCTCAGACTCACCATGTTTCCACCATCTCCTTTTCCTTCTGTCCCCACCTCCTCCAGGAAGCCCTCCCTGCCTGACTCTTTCACAGCCTCGCCTGATAACCTCTGATAGCCCTAGTGACTCAGTTCTTCCTCCCATGTGTAAAGATCCAACCGGACGTTGATTACACTCTTCTTTACATTTTTCAGGCACATTTTTACAAAGCAAACCGGGGGTCCAGGAGTAGCCCCTCACCTGTGGTTAGGTAAAGCACGTGAAAGGTCTCCCCGTGGCTGGCCTGCATGCGGTGCACGACCACTTTCTGGTAATGGTACTTGGAATGGAACAATGGCGTCTTCAGAGGTCCCATGGGCTCCACCCTCTGCGCCACCTCAGGGTGACTGTCTGCCACCTGGAAGGTCTCCGTGGGTATGGGCTGCTGGTGTGGGAGGCACTAGGTGGGAGAGCAGGCTGGGTCAGTGCAGGACTGGGAAGTGAGGTGGGGCAGGGCGAGGCTGGGCCATGACTGAGGTCACACTCACCTTGCCAGGCCTCGGGTTGGGAAGGCTCGAGTGGTAGCCCTTGAGTGAGGAGGTGCGGAAGACCTTGTCAATGTCACCCAGGGAATACACACAGACTGCTGAGTAGTTCCTGCAGGGACACAGAGATGACCTCGAGGGGGGCCCAGGACCCAGCCACCTCCACTCACCCAGGCCAGCCCGGTGCCAGAAGGCACAACACACCTTCCACCCAAGCTCCCAGCCTGTGAGCTCTGCGAGGATGGGGGCCATCTTGCAGCCCTGCCGAATGTCTGGCACAAGGTCCCAGGCACCACCAAAGGGAGGGAGGTGGGGGAAGAAAGTTCAGCCTAATTCCTTTCTGCTGCAATCTAAAACCACAAGCCTGTTCTGATACAGAATCACTGAGTTCAGTGGGCATCTGTGCTACCCAACCCAAGGCAGGAGGAACTCCAACATGGGCTGAGCGGTTCTCTAACCCCGCCGGACACACTGATGCCCCAGGAGGCCAAATCCCATTCCTTTCCCAGCCAGGTGTCTCCACATAGTAGGGTCTGTCCTACCTCCTCCCCCATCCCACACACCCGCCTGCCTTGTTTTCAATGAGAGTGATTAAGAAGTACAAAATATCAGGCACAGGCAATGGCTGAGAGACTGTGATAGCACCCAGCACCCCAAGACAGGCATTGGCAGCCTTTTCCCAGGGCTCAGCGTTCGCTCTCAGCACACTGGTGGCAGGACACAGGCACAAGAGTCATCATGAGTGTGCATACGGTGTGTGCACGCACCCATAGCTGACTCAACACAGACAACAGTACACTCAGTGACCCCCCTCACCAGGCCACATGCAGCAACAGCCCTGTCCCGTGAACCTGCAGTCCCCTGCTCATGTCCCCTCAGCAGGGCCTAAGTCCTCCAGTCCCTACTGGGCGCTGAACCGATGCCAGCCCCAGCCCCAGGAAGAGGGCCACTCACCAGGGGTTGGAGAAAACGCCATACACCCTGGTGTCCCTCCACTGGCCACTGGGGTCGGGAAGCAGGAAGACATCCTGCAGCCTGTTGAAGTTCTTGTTGGTGGCGGCGTCGCTGCACACCAGCATGGCTTTCAGGAAGGTGTTCCACTTGGAGACCGACAGCGAACTCTCGCCACCCTGGTCCCCCTGGAAGGGTGAAAGGGAAAGGACACCCCTCAGCACCTGCCCTATCCCCAGGCACCTGTTGCCAGGAACATCAGTTGGCTGGGAGAGGCTGGGACCTTCCCAGGATGAGGTGGAGGAGCCCCAGGACTCGGGCCAGGTTTCCAGGGGAGGCTCCAGCCATCAGGTGTGGCTGACCCAGGGCCCCAGGCCAACTGCAGGGTCTTGCAATGACAGGACCGACTCGCCATGGAGCAGACAGCTCCGACATATACATGCACACTCACACACACACACTGTGGCACAGCACAGTCACACACAAAAAACACACACATGTATTGTTGTTTTCTGAGGCGGGGGTCTTACTCTGCTGCCCAGGCTGGAGCGCAGTGGCATGATCACAGTTCACCCCAGTTCACTCAACCTCCTGAGCTCAGGGGATCCTTCCTCCTCAGCCTCCTGAGTAGCTAGGACTACAGGCTCATGCCACCACACTCAGCTAATTTTTTGATTTTTTTGTGGAGATGAGGTTGCCCAGGCTGGTCTCAAACTCTTAAACTCAAGCAATCCTCCCACTTCTCAAAGTGTTGGGATTACAGGCGTGAGCCACCACACTTGGTCAAAATATACACATGTAAACAGTCACACTCACACTTTCATGCATGCACACACACACACACCATCATATGTGCACAAAAGCTAGTCATCTTTTTTTTTTTTGAGACAGGGTTTTGTTTTGTTGCCCAGGCTAGAGTGCAGCGGTGCAATCAAAGCTTGCTGTAGCCTCGAAATCCTAGGTTCAAGCGATCTTCCTGCCTCAGCTTTCCCAGAGCTGGGAACCGAGACTACAGGCATGTGCTGCCATGTCCAATTTGAACATGCCTTGAATGCCTGGCCTTAAGCAATCCTCCCACCTCAAGTGCTGAGATTACAGCCATGAGCCACGGCACCCAGCCTGGCTCAGACACCTTTACCCTTGCACAGACACAGGATACCCTGTACACACAGCTACTCCCGCCATCTCAGACACACCCACTCACATGCCTTCCCGAACACGTGCACACAGGCACTGGCACCCTCACACATGCCTGTTCACACACAGCCTGCCCATGCCCACTCACTCTGCACAGCTGGGCCACCCGGGACACATTGAGGGGGGCCTCTGGGTTCTTGTCAGGGTTGTCCTCCCGGAAGAAGTAGTAGATCTTGTCATCGTAGGCCTGGTCTTGGTGCACGATGGTGGCCTTGATGAATTGTGGGTCTGCCGGGGACGCAGGCGAGGGGTGTAAGATTTGGGGGCCTGCCCAGGGACCACCCCAACCCTGCACACCCTCCCCCCTCCAGGTCTGCACAAACGCAGAGCAAATCAGACCTGGAATAAAACTGTCACCAGGCCCAACACCCCAAGGGGCCCTGGGCCTTGCCCTGCCCCCATACCTGTTTTGCCCTCTTCCCACTAAGATGTCACCGGCCCAGGAGCAATGACTTCATGCCTGGGGACTGGGGGAAGGTCCCAGGGGAGCCCCATGTCACTTCTGCCCAATTGGCAAGGCCCTAGTGAGGAGGGAGGGGTGCGCTGCCCCTGAATGAGCTCAGCAGAGGATACACTCTGACTCCTGGGGACCCGTGCTGGGTCTGGGGCTTCCTCTGTGTCCCTGAAGCACACTGGGCCCATCCTGTGTCCCCCGTGCCTCTGCTGCTCCCAGCCAACCCTGACTCCTCTAGCCTGCATCAAGTTCCTGCTGTCCTGAGTAGTTCCAGTGGTCCCCAGGGAGCTCTCCCAGATGCCATCTGCACCGGGGCGCTCACACCCCCTCGCCACCCCCAGCCCAGCTGGAGCCTGACTCACTCTGCATGACAGTGTCGCTGGTGTACAGCTCACTCTCGCCCTGGATGCGGCGGAACCGAGGGATCTTCCCATTGTATTCCTGCTTCCGGATGGTGGAGTACACCTCTTCCCCTGGCAAGGTGGGAGGGGGCATGGTAAGGGCCACCCCGAGCCCAGGCCGCTGGACAAGGAGCTGACCACCCCTGCTCCCAGCCCCATGCGGCATCGTCCCTCAGGGGCCCCTGCTCTGGCCCATCCCTACCGTCAAACAGAACCAGGGAGTTCTCATCAGGGCTGAAGGGGGCGTAGCCTCTCATCTCACCCAGAGGCAGCACAGTGCCATTCACCTGCAGGAGACCCAGGAGGTTGGATGGCCGTGTGATCCCACAGCCACTGTCCCCGTGGGGGCTCCAGGGGTTCTGTCCAGGGTGAGGCCCGCCTTGGAGTCTCCTCCCAACCACAGAGGGCACACTGATCAGGCACATAGGGAGGGGCCCTCTCACCAGCTTCCAGCAGCTGGGGTGCCGGGCATTGGTGCCACAGACCAGCAACCACTCATTCCGCCTCTCCAGGAGTGTGATGTAGTTCTCGCAGTCCTGCCCAGGGAGAAGCTGGTCAGGGGGAGGCCCTGACAGGTCTACCACTAGGACCCTCAGTCTCAGGGGAGAAAGTATCAAGAGCACACGTGGGGCCAAGCACGGGAGCTCATGGCTGCAATCCGAGCACTTTGGGAGACGAGAGGATTACTTGAGCCCAGGAGTTTGAGACCAGCCTACACAACACAGCGAGACCTCATCTCTATGGAAAATTAGCTGGGCATGGTGGCACACGCTTGAAGTCTAGCTACTTGGGAGGCTGAAATGGAAGGATCTCCTGAGCCGAGAAGGTCAAGGTTGTGGTGAGCTGTGACTGTGCCACTGCCCTCCAGCCTGGGTGATGGAGTGAAACTCCAACTCAAAAAAAAAAGGAAAATGATCAATTTTTGGCGAGGCATGATGGCTCATGCCTGTAACTCCAGCACTTCGGGAGGCTGAGGCGAGAGAATCACTTAAGCCCAGGAGATGGAGACCAATCTAGGCAACATAGCAAGACCTCATCTCTATTTTTTAAATTTTGTGTGTGTGTATGTTGGAGTTTCATTCTTGTGGCCCAGGCTGGAGTGCAGCAGCACGCTCACAGCCACTGCAGCCTCCACCTGCTGGACTTAGGTCATCCTTCCGTCTCAGCCTTCCAAGCAACTGGAACTACAGACGCATGGCACCATGTCCGGCAGTTTTTTGTAATTTATTGTAGAGACGAGGTCTCACCAAGTTGCCCAGGCTGGTCTCGAACCAGCAGGCTCAAGCAATCCTCTTGTCTCAGCCTCTCAAAGTGCTGGGATTACAGGCTGTGTCACTGTGCCTGGCCAAATTGTTTTTAATTAAAGAAACAGCACACATGGCAGCCTCTAGGATAGCCCAGAGAGGGGCAGCTGACTCCATTCCTGAGCACAGAGGTTTTCAGAGAAGGACCATGTCTCCTCAAGTGACTGGGGCTCCTAGGATGGTCTCAGCTTCCCCCATCAGCCTGGGGCTACCAAGGCAAGGCCATGCATCCTTCCTCAGACTCTCAGGGTCTCCTCTTCATTGCCTCAAGGGGCTCCGGCCCCTCCGCACTCACCCGCTTGTCCAGGCAAGACCACTTGGTGGAGCCGATGTTCACCTGGGGGAGGGGAGAAGGTTAGTCCACTCTGCCAGGGGCCAAATGCCCCCCTAATCGCTTTCCATGCAGCCTCAGGCCCAGCCCTAATGAAGCAACCATTATTCCCAAGTGTTAGGGGAGCAGCAGGGGCTCTGAGAGGGTGTGTGACCCACCCAAGGTCACAAGGGTCACTCAGTCTCATGCCCAGAGCCCTCAGGAGTCCTGCTGTGGGTGCCAGAGCCTGGCTTCCTGCGTGGGTTGCCCGCACTCATGCTGCCCACCTGCCCGGTCCCCATCTTTTTTCCACACCACCCCAGCTCCTTGTTCCAGACTGGCTACCTTTAGGGAGCCTCCCCCAGAAGCCATTTATAGGGTCTGGAGGTGGGGGGACAGTTTGGGAAGGAATGCCAGATCCCCCAGGGAGATAAGGCAAGAGATGGGGGTGGGGCTCACCTTGTGCACAGACACGTTCTTGCCCTCGGGGAAGTCGAAGAGGTAGACCTTGCTGCGGCCACCCACCAACACAGAGGAGCTGCCCGGCTCGTGGAAAAGCACTGTGTGTGGCTCCGTCTGGCCAAAGTCCACCCGGTCCTGCCCTACCCGGCCTGAGGAAGAAACAATGGGCAGAGTCGTTAAGGCTGGGCCCTGAGCGAGAAGATTCTGGACTTCCCCCGTACCCCCCAAGAGACACCAGAGCCCACTTGGCAACCAGCACTTGGTGCTCAGGGAACTGGAGGGCCCAGGAGACAAGGTGTGGGCCAGAGTGGCACCAGGACTCAGAGAGCCAGGAGCAGAAGAAGTCAGGGATCCCTGCCAGAGCCCCTGCCCTAGGACGGCAATCTCTCCCTCTTCCACAGTATGTATAACCTCAGGGTGCAGCAGGTTTTAGGGACCTCTGGGGAGAACACACCCCAAACCCCCAACTCTCTTGAGGGACCAGGCTGGGCTGAGGCACCACAGCCCCTTACCTCTGCTCTGTGAGGCTCTGCAGAGCCCAAGACAGAGCAAGCAGCCCCTCCATCTGGCCTTTCAGCAGGCAGCAGGGCCCCCCAGCACCCCACTTAGAGACTGGGCTTCCAGGAACCAGTTTATTCAGAACCCCGTTCCCTCCTCCAGGAAGCCCTCTCTAATCCCTCCCAGCCCATCCCAGTCCTCAGTGAGCACTAGATCAGAGCTGGAAAAAAAAATGTCCATGTCTAACTGCTCCCATTTCACCGACAGGAAAATGAGGCCAAGGGGTTGGGCAGCCCAAGGGTATGTGAAGCAGGTCAGGAGCAGGCCCTGCAACCTAGCCTGTGCTCCTTCCCACTGTGCTGGACTCTGTGGCCTGGCCCACCCTGGTCTGGTTTCGCCCACCACCAGCTCTCCTGGGGATAAAGATCAGCTCTCCCTCCCCAGTGGCACTGGGACAGGGGGAGCTAACAGTGCACACCCTGGGCCTTTCAGCAAAGGGCTGACCGGGACAATGTCACCCAAAAAAAGAAACTGGCTGCAGCCACTATCTCCGGAGAGATGTCTCATCCCCGAATACACTGCTGAGTTGTCCTGGTTCAGGACTAAATTACAGGGGTAGCATGGCTTGTGGCTGCGCACCCAGCAATAAGCATCCTCCCACCTCTGACCAGCCTGGGGCCCTGCCCAGGAACTGGGTCTGACCACCGTGTTTTCAGCTGCCACAAACTCTGGGGCGGCCGGGTTGGCAGTGACACCCAGCCCCAGCCCCGACAGAACAGGATGCCATTTCCTCAAGTCTGCCCCAAATCCCTCTTGTCATTTGAGCTATCCCTAACCGATTCTGCATCAAACAGGGAGAAGGGATAGTGGGCTCCCATGCTATGCAATCACATCTCAAGACATCTCAAGACCCCTGCATTGCCAAACCATCCTGCAGGTGGGGTACTCTCCTTCCTCATCTCTGCTGGGGCCTGGCTCACTACACAGAGACAGACTCTAAGACCCCTGGGGGACCGCCTAGCCCAAGGTCATATTAGCAAGCAGGACAAATTTGCTTGACTTGACAGAGTATCGGCTCTCAGGAGCGGTCAGGGTGGTGCTGACAGGGATGGTCACAGAGAGAAGGGCTGAGCTCGCTGTCCTTGGGTGGCCTGGCTCTCCTCGGGTATAACTGGATGACTCGGCGGCATCAGCCCTCCTGGCCCCCAAGGCTTCCTTCCCATCAGCCCCAAATGTGGAGGGCAGGGGCTGCAAGCCCAGCTCTGAGTGGTGGTTTGGTAGAAGGAAGCAGGTGCGGGCCAGGGCCCAGGCAGGGCTGAACGGTCTCGATCTCCTGGGGTCAGCAGTTCACAGACACACAGGCATCCTGACTCAGCTCTCAAGTGTCCCCTTTCACCCGCAGTCTGAGCAGCGGCCGCCGTCCTCTCAGCCCAGGCTGGGATCCAGACAGTCTGCAGCTTCAGCTACCCTCCCAGGCCCTCATGACCAGAAAGGCGGCCAGGAAAAGGTGTGGGGCTTCACCTAGAGATAATGGACTGGGGCCAGAGATTCCCAGTCCTCCAGAGCCAAGGGAGAGAAGCCTCTGCCCTCAGGCCATGCTAGCCACCTCCTCCAACAGTCACCGGGCCTCCATACAACTCTACTCAAGGGGAGAATGGTGGTCAGGTGTGGTGGCTCATGCCTGAAATCCCAGCATGCTGGGAGGCCAAAGCAGGAAAATCACTTGAGCCCAGGAGTTCGAGACCAGCCTGAGCAATGTAGTGAGACCTCATCTCTACAAAATAATTTTTAAAATTAGCTGAATGTGATAGTACACGCCTGTAGCTACTTGGGAGGGTGAGATGGAAGGATCGCCTGAGTCCAGGAGGTCGAGACTGCAATGAGCTATGACTGTCCCACTGCACTCCAACCTAGGCAACAGAGCAAGACCCTGTCTCTAAAAAACTTTTTTTTTTTTTTTTGAGATAGGGTTTTACTCTGTTCCCAGGCTGGAGTACAGTGGCACGATCATGGCTTACTGCAGCCTCCAACTCCTGGTCTCAAGCAATCCTCCTGCATCAAACCTCCGGAGTAGCTGGAACTACAGGCACCCACTACCATGCCTGACTAGCTTTTGTAAATTTTTTATAGAGAGGAGATCTCACTATGTTGTCCAGGCTGGTCTTGAGTTCCTGGGCTCAATCAATCCTCCCTGGGCTCAATCAATCCTCGGCCTCACAAAGTGATGAGATTACAAGCATGAGCCACCATGCCAGCTAAAACATTTTTTAAAAAACAAAGCATTTCCTGAAGACATAAAGGGAAGGTGAGGCTACTGGCTGCAGGCGGGCACTTCAGTGCTAGGGTCTGAACAAGCCCATAGGGACCTGCAAGCCAGGCCCCTCAAATCCCAGCTGCAACAGCCAGGGTTGGGGAGGCAGGACTACATGTCCTGGGGGCATGGCCTGCCCTGACCCCCAGGTTCCTGCCCCTCCTGGCTCCTCCTGGCAATGAGTGTGGGGTGGGGGGATGTGACACCCACTCAGCCCAGGACAAGGCCTTGGCCCATTCTCCAGCCCAGCCCAGCCCGGGCTCCCGCACCGCCCCAGGCCCTCAAAGGGCCTGATTGTGCCTGGGAAGTGTCGAGAGGCAGCAGCCCCATGAATACATGAAAGGAAGCTTTGTCCAGGGTGGCAGGAGTGGGGGCTGGGGGCTCAGGGCAGGAGGGCTGCCTGGAAGCGAAGGCAGCACCGAGCCCCCGCAGCCAGGATCCGTGGGCCCCGCAGAGCCGCCTGGGGAAGCTAGACCCAGGTGGGTGGCTCTGGGGCTAGTCAGGCAGGGGCCGAGCAGGGCACAGGTCAGGGGAGTAGCTGTCACATCCCTAGACATTATCTCTGCTGCTGTAGGAACCCAAAGGGATACGGAGGCAGACAGGGCTGGATGGGCCAGAAGCACACAGGGAGAGAGCTCCAGGCGGGGAAGGTGGCCTGAGCCAAGGTGGGAAGCCGAACGTAGGGCAGGGACAAGGACAGAGGTCTGGCGCTGCAGCCTGGCAGAGTCCTAATGAGAAGAATCGGGAAGGTGGGCCGGGGACCCCAGTATGATGGGGAGGGGCAGTGAGGCTGCCCCGAAGATGCACTGCCCCACTGCCCATCACTCTCCCTGCGACTTCCCCATGACAGGCCAGGGGTGGGAGCGCCTCCCACCTCCAGGGTCCCCCCACCTCCCAGTTCCCCCTGCTGCCCATCCTGCTCATCTAAAAGGAGCACCGTCTGGCACCATGTCTCCCCCCTCATTCCCTGGCCTGACGCATTAGTGGCTAAGTGGTAGCTAAAAGCTCCTAGAATAACCAGGGGTTCAGGCAGGGGAGGGGGAGGGGGCAAAGGACATGTGGAGGGCATGGCCCAGAGGCAGCCAGGCAAGAGACAAACCCTCCCTCTGTGATTGGGGTCCAATCTTTGCTCCTGCTGGACCGAGAAAGCACGTTCAGGCTGCCTGGTACCCAGCCAGGCTCTGTAGGCCCCTGAGCCCCACTTTCCACAGTGGCTGGCTGGCCCAGCAAGGTAAGCCCCAGTCCAACAAGAAGTAGAGAGGATTACTGGGCTGTGAGACAGTCTCCTCAGATACGGTCCCCGGCCCAGGTGCCCCCAGGACACTGATCCTGTTGGGGAGAACTGGGCCTGACACCCCCTGGCCTCCCTATCACCACCCTACAGCAGTGGCTGGGGCTGGTCCTCTGTGGGTGGGTTTCCCGAAACAGGCCTGACTGGCAGAGCATCATTCCTCCCCTCTTACTCACTCTAGGCGCTATCACCATCTGTCCCCACTGTCCCCACATCCTTGTTGCTTGGGAAAGAGGAGGGCAGCCCAAGGGGAGGACAGAGTGGGGCTTGTTGTTGTCCACAAAAGGGATGGGCCGCAAGGTCCGGTCTGGGCAGACAGCCTTCAACCTGACCCACTGACCCGACGAGCCTTGAATGCTAACCTCAAGGAGCTCTTTGAAAGTGGACGGCAACCAGGCATGGAGGTTCATGCCTGTAACCCCAGCATTTTGGGAGGCCAAGGCTAGAGGACTGCTTGAGTTCAGGAGTTTGAGACCAGCCTGGGCAACACTACAAGACCTCATCTCTACAAAAATTTGTAAAAATTAGCCAGCTGGCCGGGCTCGGTGGCTCAGCCTGTAATCCCGCGCCTTGGGAGGCTGAGGTGAGTG